ATACATGCCTGGAAACAAATCTTGCTGACAATGGTCTCACATTGGTCTTTCTGATATGTTTATGATTTACCACAATTTGAAAACAAACGCATGCAAAGCTCCACAGTTTGGTTATGTTTAGGCTCTGAGTGCATCTAAAGTCAGTGTTAATGTATTCATTTCCTCTTTGATAGGCATGTAGAAGTTGGAGTACTAAGTACTTGCTTGATAACGGTGATAGAACCTACACCGAAACGTTGCTCTTAATTGTACTAAAGAAGTTGTTCATCCATAAATTCTTATCCTTACAATGTACATCATGTGGCAACATCCTGGGTAAGGAGCTTGAAGTGCATAGATTACGGAGATCGGCAAAATGTCCTTTGCGAAGTACAATGAAATTTGTGAAAACATTATTGACCAAGAATATTCAAGTATTGCACTGGAGAATGTTATAATATATATGTACAATGATCCCTCGCTACAACGCTACCTTGGGGTCCAAATAATTGATGAGCGTTATAGATAATCAGCAGTTTAACCGAGGTGGAGTTGTAGGGGGTAGATGACCAACAAAACAGTACATGCTTTACCTACCTAACACGTTGCAGAGTTTAAAAAAGATTAGTATAGTAGTTGTTTATGGTTTATAGTTTAAAAAAAGATTTATCGAGTTTACCCCAAAACACATAGTATCCACATCAAATTCAGGTGAATGAACAGGTATAACAAACTTGGTCAAAGAAAATATGATATTTGATATTAAACATCGCAAGACATGATGATTTACCGTATTCGACGTAATAAGCGCCCTGCTCTAATAAGCGCCCACGGAGATATTTGCTGATATATTGGCTGGTGAACAATCCCAATTAGCACCCCTTCCGATTGATCAATGTACACAAGACTTATTTATTCGCGTATAATACACACTCGTGTGTTATATGCACCCTTAATTATGGGCATTAAAATTCTGGGGAAATATATATGTCGTACATAAACATTTCAGGCTGTCACCATAAACCACGAAATTTATCTTTCATCTCTGTTTTTTTTCACCAAAATAATATTCTAATAAGAGCCCCCTATTTCTAATTTTGAGAGCGCCCTGGGCGCTTATTACGTCGAATACGGTACATTTTAAATGGTATTTCCTGCTCTCCAAGGCATTGTTTTAAATGCAGAGATTGAGTGAAGATTACTTTGTGTTTTTACTCATAAACTAAGCCGGAAATAGCAATGTGCACACGTTTCCTCCCAATCTACCAGTGATTCAGTTAAAAAGTACCCAATGATACAACTTCAAAGAATTTTGATGCAATTGTCAGAAGAAACTGTATCTGAAATTGTTATTTTATCAGGAATGATATATAGAATAATTTGACCAGTCACCATAGGAATTTCCTGGGCTACATGTATTTCAATTTAAAAAAAAATTATGTTGACATATAATAGTCAAACTAAATTGGTTGCTGTAAATAACGGTGAGTTGTGTGATCTACCGATCACTTCATACACAATTTTTCCGAAATTAATGTAAACAATATTGAATGAAATTTTGAATAAAATAAAAAAAATGTATGACAAACATAAGTCCAGATAAACATCGTGTCATTGCAAAACTTGAGTTAATAAAAAACATGAGTAAATTTTGGAAGCCATGCAATACTGCGTGCTATAACCGAGTTAATGCTATATTGAAGGGCGCAATAGCGAGGGAACACTACCATCAATGCCAGAGAATAATTCACAATTATTTGCCAAAACAGATTCCATTATCAGTAAAGGAAAAAATTGTGATGAAAATTATATGAATGGATCAAAAATAGATAGGTGAACAGATTCACAAAAAGATGAGCCAAGATTAGAAAATGTACAGATATCTCTGTCAATATTTAATGGGTCCTGATATTTGGCCTTGACACAGGATTTAGTTACTGATACTCTAAGGGGGGGTCCTGATTACGTCAGTGGGGACAACTTATACCCTGGTTAGTTCTAATATTCTTTGATAAAGCAGCTTGTGAAGATTCATCCAAGAGAAGGTTCTTGAAAGGTTCAGCTTCAGAGTGAATGAGTCTGGAATGGTTTGATGTCAATACAGTTGTAGTTCTACAATTCTGTGATAAAACAGCTTCAACATACTTTAAACCATTTTATTCTGCAACAACCAATCTCATTAAGATCAGATCTTTTTCTTTAAATCGATACTGATCTCCATTAAGATCTGGCAAACCCTTTACTGGAGGTCACATCATATGAACTTTCAATTCAACCAATCCGCGTCGTGGATTCAGACAAGCCTATCTGATTCATATCTGAATGTAAATGACGAAGACCTCATTCAGATGTTGGGTTGGGAATACAGGTTCACCCTGATATTGTTCATATTGATAGCGTAAGGAAAAGTTTTACAATGGAACCCCTTTTGAAAAGACTGGTTAATGGTTGTTTTTGCTTTGCATCACTTTTATGATATATTTACACTGATATTGATCTTCTTCTTATATGACAATACAGGCCAAGTAATAAATGACATATTTTAGAAGTTATTTTCATTTTTCAATTTTTAATATGACTGACATAACAAAATGATTATGCCATCAGATAGGAGGGTCCTGATGGGGGGTGTAACAAGTCGGTAAGTAAAATTTAGGGCCTTTACACGGTAGTCATTATATTTTTGGTTTGGTCAGCAATAGCAACATGAAAATAAGGGACAAGATGTCAAGTTGAATCTAACATGCAAAATCATCTCAGTGTGAATGCATATCGTCAGTCTGTAGGGAAACAGGGACAACTGGCTCTGCTTTCGTTTCATTACTGAAATTTGTGTTTTGCAAATACCAAACACTGACTGTTTATTGTTTTGTCGTTAGATCTAGTTGTATACAATTTTATGGGATTTTATGATATATGGTTAAGTTTTAATTTACACTAAGCAGTTTTGTCATGGACAATTTACTTTAATCTTTTACGATAAAAATTTGACTCATGTTACGTTTAGGATAGCATTTTTTACAAGTTTAAAGAGTAACCCTATACCACCCTAAGGACCCTCAGATATTGATCCTTTGGTTAGGATGTATAGAATAACATTTTTATGATTGCACAATGAAACACATCTTTCAATCATGTGGCCAAGATATAACTGGAATACTGTTAAAAGCGGCATTAAAGCCGACTCACTCACTCACTCAATCATGTGACTACATTTGAGAGAGCATATATAATGTCGATTTAGCTAGATCTATGGCACAACAGCTTTCAAAAACGCAAGAGTGCTCATAGTCCATTAATAGGCCAACAGTACAGAATCACCGTGCCACACGCACCATCCATACATATTTGTTCAACATTAAGCCAGACACATAAGGCCAGTGCATTTGCTGATAAGAAACTCCAAAGGGTGTCTGTGTCAACACTGCAGAAGCCTCCCTTTCTGCTTGTTGCACCATCTGTCTGTTGTGTGATGTTGGTCAACAATCAGTTCTACATTCAGGAGTAAAATTAGTTAGTTGGGTTAAATGCTGCTTTTAAAAGTATTCCAGTGATATCACGGCGTGTCAGCTTTATGTGGGAGGAAAGCCTGAGTGAGTGAGTGAGTGAGTATGGTTTTACGCCGCTTTTAGCAATATTCCAGCAATATCACGGCGGGGGACACCAGAAATGGGCTTCACACATTGTACCCATGTCGGGAATCGAACCCGGGTCTTCGGCATGACGAGCGAACGCTTCAACCACTAGGCTACCCGACCGCCCCCGGAGGAAAGCCTGAAGTGATGCAGGCCTCACATGTTTACAACTTTGGTGAAACCCACGAGCACGGGTATGGTGCTGACAAACCTAAAAACATAATCGGGGCGAACCGGGATTAACCCACAATCATAGGTTTCTGGCGTGTCCAAGGGACGCAACTCTGCACCGCAAATTGCGGCGCCTTAGACGACTGGGCCACCCGTGCCCCCTTCAGGAAAAAAAAGTGTGCTGATGTGTTTCATGAATGTAGAAGTCATGACCACTTGCACAGAAAGGGCCAAATGGGGTTCTAGGCAAGAGTAGGTCTGTCCGACTTGCTGTTCTTAATTGAACGTTATGTGCATTTCAGCTGTGGGTATCTTGTAGGCACAGCAGCCTTTTATGATGGAATCAGATTATCAGGGTATGGCCTTACCTGCACTTGGCCTGTGCTTGAGTGAGAATCAAGGGTCTTCTGAGAGTGCCTTTATTATATGATTTGTTGGCGCTGACGGAAATTCGATGGTTGTAGTGAAATGCCAAGGAGAGCCATTACGTTGTGTGATAAAAAAACTGGTAAATCATTCTGGAGAAAGAAGACCTTGTACGTTATACAAAAATGAGTCCAGAATACGGACATTAAAACAGATATGATTATGTGTTTTCTTTTTGATGAATCGGTAAACAGGTCGAAAAATACCGAAATCAGGATTTTATGGAGATGTTGCCTAGTTTCAATAAATTTGTGATCAATATTATGACCAGGTTATGGCTTGAATAGTTTTTCCTGATCTCATTTGGTTGTTTTTATATTCATATTGCTCATTGAGTTCAATAAGTTTACAGTGGTGGGGTTTCCTCTGGGTTATAGCCTTTGCTCGTCATGCCAAAGGCCTGATTGGATTCCCCACATACAATGTGTGAAGCCCACTTCTGGTGTCCCCTGCCGTTATTTTGCTGGAATATTGCTTAACGCGGTGTAAGATCATACTCACTCAGTAATATTATTGTACACTGTATTGTCATAGAAATAAATAATATTTATTTATCCTTGTCATGATACAAGGCTTTGAAGATATTCTTTGTAAGCTGTCAGACTATACTCAAGACTATACAACAAGTGCTTGAATACCATCGATGTGATGGGGATTGAAGTGGAATATTTGCTCACTCACTCACTTCCTTGCTACCCTTGTGTTGTTGTCCACTTGAATATGGTTCAAGTATTCTTAGCCTTCAGTGTCCGTTGTCTCTTGTCTGAATAGTCCTTGTTATATTTTCAGAGTTCTGGTTGAATTCTTCACAAATGAGAAGTCCTTCAAGGAGAGGCTACAACTATACTTCATCAAGAACCAAAGATCCAGTAAGTGTGGCTTCAGCGGGTGTATATTGGCTTCAGCAGGAGTGTATGGGCTTTAGCAGGAGTGTATGGGCTTTAGCCGGAGTGTATGGCTTCAGCAGGAGCGTATGGCCTTCAGCAGGAGTGTATGGGCTTCAGCAGGAGTGCATGGGCTTCAGCAGGAGTGTATGGGCTTCAGCAGGAGTGTATGGGCTTCAGCAGGAGTGTATGGGCTTCAGCAGGAGCGTATTGGCTTCAGCAGGAGTGTATGGGCTTCAGCAGGAGCGTATTGGCTTCAGCAGGAGTGTATGGGCTTCAGCAGGAGCGTATTGGCTTCAGCAGGAGTGTATGGGCTTCAGCAGGAGTGTATGGGCTTTAGCCGGAGTGTATGGCTTCAGCAGGAGCGTATTGGCTTCAGCAGGAGTGTATGGGCTTCAGCAGGAGTGTATGGGCTTTAGCCGGAGTGCATGGGCTTCAGCAGGAGCGTATTGGCTTCAGCAGGAGTGTATGGGCTTCAGCAGGAGTGTATGGGCTTCAGCAGGAGCGTATTGGCTTCAGCAGGAGTGTATGGGCTTCAGCAGGAGCGTATTGGCTTCAGCAGGAGTGTATGGGCTTTAGCCGGAGTGTATGGCTTCAGCAGGAGCGTATGGCCTTCAGCAGGAGTGTATGGGCTACAGCAGGAGTGCATGGGCTTCAGCAGGAGCGTATTGGCTTCAGCAGGAATGTATGGGCTTCAGCAGGAGTGTATGGCTCCATTTTGTCAAAGAAGACAACATTAGAAGCCATGTGAAAATTTAGACTATTAGACAAGAGGGTCATCCAGTGGGGATGCTGGGTCAGAATCAGCCCCAAGAAATCTATACCTCTTGTAAGAGGCGAGTTAGTAGACTGGGTGGTCAACTTGGTGACTTGGTTGATTGCGGAACCTTTTTCCCCAACAATGTGGTTCATTCTTCATAATATCAATCATCAATCTCATTAAAACGAGATCTTAGTTCTCGCTACCGCTAAACAAAGATCTGAGGACATTCCATTACAGGTCACGTCAGACCGACCTTGCGCGAACTTTGACCGACCAATGGCATGACCAATCAGAAGGCAGCTTTCTTGTTCTTTACGGCACAAATTTCAAATTGGAGACTATGCTTAGAAACATATTTTGATAAATTCTCGATTACAAATTTGAAATCTGAACAAAAAAACATTCTGGAATGGTCTAGATTGTAAGGATTCAGGCGTTAAACTCGTATATATCGTTCGGAATACCCCATGTTAAAGTTTTTGAGATTGCATGATTAGAAATCACATTCCGACTGTCACTTTCATAATCTGGTAAGCGACGCACTGATTTGTCTGATGAAAGGTCGTTCTGACATGACCACTAATGGGATGTCTTCAGATCTTTGTTTAGCGCTAGCGAGAACTAAGGTCTGATTTTAATGAGATTGATCAATCATTAGATTCTATATTCCAGAACCATTTATTTAAAGGCAGCCCTTATATAGCTGGAGTTTTGTTGAATGTGAATATCAAACAAAATGATGATAATGCTAAATTCTATCTCTGAACAGTTCATTGTGCAATATGTATATTAATAAATATAAGTGTCAGTGAAAATACAAACATGCCATATATGTGAGAAATAACAAATTAGGTGACGAGTACCACTAGTGTCATTCATCGCTGACATTTAAGAGCAAATAATAAATTAGGTTTTCCAAGATTAAGCTGTTTTGTAACTGTATTTCCATGATGAGTGTCAGACGTAAGATGAATATTTGATCGCCTCTGTAGCCAGGTATTACCATCTGTCTCTACACAGCGCCAGTACTAAAGGGCAGTGAATCGTGTGAATCATGCGGTTTCTCGGTGATATCACTGCAAATGAGAAGGCTGTGACATGATTGTATTCTCATAAATAATTCTCATGGGTATGCACATTTAATAGTGACATTTGATATTTTGAGGCATTCTGACCGAGATTGCTTTTGGTATAATTGTGACGAAATGCTGTTGTATCCACCTCACCTGAGTTTAAAATTGGTTTTTGGCAATGAAAGCATTACATTTTTTATGAAGCGTACAAATACCAGTGTTTTCTGGGGTTGTAATGAGATTTGGAGAACCACAAGCATGAGTTTGTGCAATGATGACAACCGTTACAATGCTGCAGGAATCTTTACAATAATGTGAACCAAATTCCAACACTACAATTAGGAGAGAGACATTATATGTTTTCAGACGTCTGGGTTTTATGCAGAATTCAATGCCTGGATATCATGTTTGGTTTCAAATGTTCAAATTTTGGGGCTTTCATAAATCCTCAATGACACCCTCAAATCTGAGTGAGTGAGTGAGTATGGTTTTACGCTACTTTTAGCAATATTCCAGCAATATCATGGCGGGGGACACCAGAAATGGGCTTCACACATTGTACCCATGTTGGGAATTGAACCCGGGTCTTCGGTGTGACGAGCGAACGCTTTAGCCACCCGACCGCCCCCCACAATCTGAAACACATAATGTTTTTTGACATTGTAAAATACACCAGTTATTGTCATTTACATGTCGTAACTCAGGAATGTGATGATGTCATGATACAGTGGATGGCATCGGCGATAACTGAATTTGTCTGGTTCTGGAAAAAAAACAAAACTAAGTCGGAGTGGTTCTGATAAATCTTGGTCAAACTTATCATTTCATAACCATGGTATCCAGTTGGCCAAGTCAACTGTCACGGTTTTCATATGTGGGTGTGTGGGTGGGTGGCTGTAATTTGAGTGGGGGGTGGAATGAGTGGGTGGTTGGGTGAGTGAGTGAGTGGTTGGTTGAGTTAGTGAGTGAGTGAGTGAGAGCTCCCAGTAACCACTCCAGACAACAGTATACCAGCTGTACCAGTGAGTGACCGACTGGTTTGTGTGAGCGAGTGAGTGAGTGAGTGAGTGAGTGAGTGGGTGAGTGAGTGGTTGAGTGGGTGGTTTAGTGAGTGAGTGAGTGAGTGAGTGAGTGAGTGAGTGAGTGATCCCGCCCCAGACAACAGTATACCAGCTGTACCAGTAAGTGAGTGACTGACTGGTTTGTGTGAGCGAGTGAGTGAGTGAGTGGGTGGGTGGGTAGGTGGGTGAGTGAGTGAGTGAGTGAGTGAGTGAGTGGGTAAGTGAGTGAGTGGGTGAGTGAGTGGTTGAGTGAGTGAGTGAGTGAGTGAGTGAGTGAGTGATCCCACCCCAGACAACAATATACCGGCTGTACCTGTAAAATAGATAATAAAGCCATGACCAGATAAGCCAGTGATTGATATTATGTGAAGCATTACCTCCAGTTGCGGTACAGTGACATGCATTCATAACATAATAATAATGACAAGGCCACTTAATGCTCCACACAGGCAGTGTGCTCATAGCGCCAACAAGATTAATAAGAATTTCTAATGACAGAATATTTAAAACAGGTGTATTTTTAGGTTTGTCTTGAAACTGTTGAGTGTTGGAGAACATTTGATTGCATCTGGTCCAATGTTCCATTTACTTGTTAATATTTTTGTAAGAATTGCCAAACAGTTTTGAGTTTCCATCTTTGTAGATTGTAGGTCAGTGCAGCAGAAATAAGTCACCGAGCCTGATTCAGTTTTGTCACCTCTTACGACCAGCATTGGTTGCCTAATTGAGTGAAGCATCCCCTATCACTGTTGTTATCTTCTTGATGACAACATGGTTTCAACGTAAAGACAAATTTTTAAGTTTTGTTTTTTAACTTAAATTTGATGACAAGCATTCAGTGTTTTCAATAAAAAGTTAAGTCTCTGTTATATTTAACAGTGCTAAATTTAATTTGAAACCAGTTGTGCAGTAAGTATAACACATTTTTTTTTTCCTAATATATATAACAATTTGCCATAATAAGCACACCAGGTACTTAGAAAACTGACATGGTGAAGCACTTATTAAAACTAGAAACAGCAAGCTAAGCCGATTTTCAGAGAATCGAGCTGTAGTGATAAGATAGTTCAAATGTCGATTAAACTTAAACCTTTTTGAAAAAGAGATACAGTGCAAATATATACCCCTTCTGTTTATTATCAAAGAAATCTGTACTATGGACAAGAAAATATGGACTGTCACTCAAATGTTTGGTCTTAGGTAGCGCTTATAAAGATATCTTATGGATTGGTCCAGAAATAGGTCACGGACACTTATATAATGAAGCAGGGTGCTTGATACGGTGAATACGACAATCCCCATCATGGATATGGAAACACAAGGATAATGATCTCTTTATCATGTATACCAATCCAATAACTCACCTAGCAGGTACTAGTTTTGATAAGCTCCATACATCAGTGTAATGTCTACTTGTTAAAGATACTATTGCCTGACATTTCCATATGTTTTGATGAGGATGTCCTGATTGTGAGTGTTTCTGGCAGTAGACATAGCTGCAAATCATTTGGCTGTGTATGCTGGAGCAGTTTACGAGGGATTTCCTGGTGATTTAGTGTTTGTGTTTACAAACATGGCTATTAATCATTTGGCTTTATAGGATCAATGGGGCGGTTCACAGTCAAACAGAAAATGAATGTGACCTTAACCTTCACTAATCTTGGATTGTATTTATGACCAGTTTCTGAATCACTTCTTGCATGAGTAAAAAATATGTCGAAATTTCAGTTAATTTGAAAAACACATTATGTTATATTGATCTTATTACCCAGATGTGTCACCGTACTTTGATATATATGGAACGTTTTTGCTTCATCTGAAAATGTAATATTGATAATTTCTCTTTAGTGAAAGAATATCGGTACTTTATGACAAAATTATTTTCAGTCCGTCAAACATACACAATGTTTTCAGTCAGAAAATACTTAATAAACATATGGGATTTCTTTTGATTTATGCACTAATATGAACTTGTAATGATGTTACTTGATGAACATGTTACTTAAGTTACTAGACAGATTTCCTCTTCTAATTGTGTTATAATATTGGACACTCACTCACTCACTCACTCACTCACTCACTCACTCAAATCCCACCCACTCACCCACCCACCTCTCACTCACTCACTCACTCATTCACAAACTGTTTTCATGTCATCCTATCCAAATGCTTAGATCAATGTCCATGATGTCAATCACTTGATTGTCTGGTCCAGACTCAATTATTTACACGTCGCCATCATATAGCTGGAATATTGCTGAGTGCAGCTTTAAACAACAAACAAACAAACAAACAAACAAACAAACAAACAAACAAACAAACAAACTTAAAATTGTTCTTCAACAAATTCTTCTTGCATTTACTTTAAATACCACTTCTCCAGTTTAATTTTTATTGGAATTACTAACATAAGTATTCCTAGTTAGTGTTGATGGTTTATTGTTATTATCCCCCATCCCAACAAAGTCGCTTGTTTTATTTAAATATGAAACGAAAGTCCACTGATCCAGCCCCTCATCTGGTGTCTCTGTTGCAGGTTTACGTATTCGTATCTTCAACTTGCTCATCAAGCTGCTGACATGCATCCTGTACGTGGTGCGAGTCTACATGGACAAGGGCAAGACTTCCTCCCAGTAAGTTCCCTCCAGCTCATTAGCTTCATTACCTGCTTTAAGGATCTGCAAACCTTCAAAATCAGGAATATTGAAAAAAAATATAAAAATTTAAAGTTTTTTTATTGCAGCTCAGCCTAATAATCACATCAAAAACGAACAAATAATAAAAAATTGTCTGACCCAAAGCCTGAGATAGAACCACAGCGAATACTATTCTTATGTAAAGGTTTGAGGCCTTTTTCCCATGTAAAAGGTACAATTTTTAACATTCATGTCACATTTAACAAAATGTACAGGCCAAATGATAAATAAAGAATATAATTTTTGTTCTCATCCTTCCAACGCTGAAAGAAATATTTGAAGGATTTATTTTTTATCTTTACATTTATGAATATTATTAGAATTAATTCTACCATGGATACTTATTCACTTGATGCTTGCAACATAATTTGATGTACCATAAATACCGCATCTTCTTAATTGTATACATAAATATGCCTTCATCTGTACCATGATGTGGATTATGCCTTAGGCCTCCTCTGTACCACATCCTTTTGAGAAGTACCTGTATTCATAAAGCTGTACTGTTTTTCGAGTGCATATGTATCCTGTGTATATGACTGAATAAAAATTTATATAAAAAAAAGAAAATTCTACCATGGATTTTGAGTTAAAATCTGGAACCAAACTAATTTGTTTTTGATTAGGCTGGGATATTTTGAAAAAAATAGTTAGTTCCAGAAAATGCTTTAAAAATTGCAGTCAATCAAGCCACAGTGTCCATCAGTGATAGTTTATAGACCACCAAACGTGCAGATAATTGGAAGAGTATGAGAAAAAAATATATATCGTTAAAATCAATGATGCATGTATCATTTTGTTGAATTTAATATTGCCATTCACACCTGGTGGTCCAGCTAATCATTTCCTACCACTGTTATAACAAACAGTTATCTTGGAACAGTCCATTTTATTTTAAGGGGTCTTTTGTTTGAGGCAAAGAAATTTTGTCATTTTGTAACAAATGTTATATTTGGGATAACACTTTCTTAGTAAAGTACAGATTCTCGTACTTTTTTGGGTCCAAGCTGTTAAATTCTAAATTCAGTCATTTTGGACAAAATTATCTGTCTTCCATGATACTCCGGTTTCTATGCTACTCAAAAGAAGTTAAGGACCACCCCATTTTTTCATATTTCTACAGTTACAGTTAACTACAGTAATAGGAAAGAATCGAGAGCTCTTTAACGTCTTTGGAAAAGTATTAAATGGTACTAAATGATATTTTGTAACCATTTTAGTCAATTTACTTAATGACTGATTCACTCATCAATTTACCAAGAAGACTGACCAAATGTTATTATTGTGTTCTCTACTAAAATTACAAATGTAACAATCAGTGTCTAAATTCAATCGATTTGTAAAATTACTGAAATTTTCATCCATTCACTCATTCCTAAGTATGTTGTCATGTGTGAATGCTCACCTAGATTCCCAATCAGGGAGATTGCCATGGTCCAGTTAATAGCCTGATCACATTATTTGACCTATTATTAACCCTAACCCTAACCCTAAATTTTCTCAAACTAGGGCATGGGCGTGAGTGGCGCAATCCTGCGTCACTTCCGGCTTTACTCTTACACTAAACTAACAAGCTGTGGTTTTACTCGAATACTGTTCAAAGCAGCATTAAACCCAACTCACCTACTCAAGCAAGTGTCTAAGCTAAACGGCTTCTGTGGGAATCTGTTCAGCAGAATCCCCCAGTATGCATTTTTCGTCATTCATGTATTTCATTTAACCTGTTCTTTCTTTAGAGGAATTGCTTAACTCAATATTCCCGGTTAGTGTAAGCTGTTGTCAGTACAGTGGCACGGGTGGCCCAGTCGTCTAAGGCGCCGCCATTCGCTGAGCAGAGTTGGGTCCCTTAGGCATGCCAGAAACCTATGATTGTGGGTTCGAATCCCGGTTCGCCCGATTATGTTTCTAGGTTTGTCAGCACCATACCCGTGCTCGTGGGTTTCACCGAAGTGGTAAACTTCTGAGACCTGCATCACTTCGGGCTTTCCTCCCACATTCAGCTGACACGCCATGATATAACTGTAATACTGTTAAAAGCGGCGTTAAACCCAACTCACTCACTCACTCACTGTTGTCAGTTCATTGAAATATGAAGCTTAATGCCTCAGACACATTGCTCTACAGCTAGGATACGGCGGCCGTAGCCCCCCGAAATCGAGAGATACCTGCGGCGGCCGCAGAGGACCTGCGGTGGCCTCAGGGTCACCCTAGGGCGTATCCCTTTCTTTTACAGGCGACCGTGCATCATCATTTCAAAGGGTGTAGGCACAAATTCAAAATACAGCGCTCCACTATCCTGACATATGTGACTGCCACAGTATGTGACCGTGGGAATGTTGCGGCGGCCCTATAATTGCTAATGGCTGTAGATATTTTTAGACCCCACAGCCGCGGCGGCAAATGTGACTGAGGCATAAGTCAAAGATGTATATAGATATACAGTCAAGTCTCGTTAATCTGACACTCGTTAATCCCACAATCGGCTTTATCCGACACTAATGATGGGAACCGATTAAATCAGTGCTATTTAGACCCGTTAATCCGACAGTCTCGCACTCCGACTCCAACACACCTAATTTGCAACGAATTACCGAAATCACTCATTAATCTGTCTCGTTAATCCGACACAGTGATCAGCGTACTCTGTGGTCATCTGCCCACGAGTACACAGCCCGTGTTTTGATGCGAGACGAATCGGCTGGTAGCTGCATATTACAACGGCTGCAGAGATAAACTTGTATAACAATAAACAATTAATGCTTTAAATAAAGAAAACAGGATAATTCACATGCTGAGAGTACCTCAATCTTATTAAAATCAGATACAAGTTCTGGCTAACGACGAGGACATCCCATTACAGGTCAAGTCAGAACAACCTTTCGCGAACTATGACCTACCAATGAAATGACCAACAGGAAGTCGATTTAGCCACTTAGAAAGCAGCTTTCTTAAGCTTTGGGTACCAGTTTCAAAGTTGCGACTCCCATTCCAGACTATGCTTTTTAAAGTATTTTAGATGTAGATGTATATACGTCTTTGCTTAAGTCAACAGAACAGGTGTCATGGCACCAAGAAGAGGCCTGGCCAACTATTTTATTCATAAATGAAAAAGGATTAGGAACAAGTTATCCAACTTAGGACCCCCTCTCCCTGGTATTTCCATACATTATTTCGTATGTACAAGAGATGATGTAGGAAGACAAGTACACTAAGAGATGAGGAGGATAGAGAGAAACTAATATAGAAGAAAAGTAGACAAAGTGTTTAGTCTGATTGATGTTGGTTGGTTTGTTGTTAACGCCGCACTCAGCAATATTCCAGCTATATGACGGCGGTCTTTAAATAATCGAGTCTGGACCAGACAATCCAGTGATTGACATCATGAGCATCGATCCACGCAATTGGAATGCGATGACATGTATCAACCAAGTCAGTGAGCCTGACCATCCGATCCCGTCAGTCGCCTCTTACGACAAGCATGTAAGATTGCACCTGGGTACCTGGGTACCTGACCCCCTATTAACTGACCCTACCTGGGTACCTGACCCCCTATTAACTGACCCTACCTGGGTACCTGACCCCCTATTAACTGACCCTACCTGGGTACCTGACCCACTATTGCCTGACCCTACCTGGGTACCCATCTGGGCTCGATTTAGTTATATAGGACAGGTACCATTTAACCTATTATTGAAAAATGCAATCTAATATTTATGTCTACATGCATCAAGTGCATGTCCAAAAAAATCAAATTTTTGTCTGACTTACCCTTACTTGTCCACATCTTTGAGCTTTATTTACCATACTGTATGACATATCCCTGTTATGTGTAATTCATGACACATCCATCAGAGATCTGATATTTTACTTACTTAGACTAATTTATCCATCTGTGTTTCAACTTGATAAAATTATGACATCATGCAGGGTCCACGTAGATTGTGTTTAATTAAACAATCCTTAAATAATGGTTTTCAGTTTGATTTATTTTTGTATGTTGTTTAATGCCGCACTCAGCAATATTCCAGCTATATCATGGCAATCTATAAATAATCAAATCTGGAGCAGACAATCCAGTGATTGACATCATGACCATTGATTTACACATTTTGGATATGATGACATGCATCAACCAAGTCAGAGAGTCTGACCACCCGATCCCATTAGTTGCTTTTTATGACAATCAAGGCCAATTCTATACTGGATCTTCACAGAGGGATGGTTTTAACCCAAACCTGGCTTTCTGCCAGATGTATTGCCTGCTTATTTAGAACGCAAGCCTCTTGAGTTCCATCCCAGGTGTTGGAGAGTTTGAGAAGGCCTCGGTAGTTGATTAATAATATACGGGTGAGCTTGGGGGTCAGGTGAAGATTCTTATTCCACTTGATGTTGATCTGGACATTCTGACCCCTTACATGTTTTCTGAACGTGCTTGGTTGGTGTTTCTTTCGAGTGCTTCATCTTCATGTTTCTGACATGGACCAAATAAAAGTTGAATGTGTGAAAGTAATATATATTTCAGATATTTTGTCTTTTTGTGTGCAAATTCGACAAATAACATACACATTACTATCTTATTTGGACACATCTGAGTTTCTTTGATTGATGGTCTGAATTTGAAAAGAGAATTCTGAGTCTTTCGTCATTATGAGATTTTCTCAAAAACCGCAATGTCAGGAGTGGCTTAAACTTTTCAATTTGTATGAGTCCTTGTGGTTGATACTTAACTTTATGCACTGAAGACTGATGCAACCGACATAAAAAATACATCCAACCTGACAGTGTTTTGTTTATGAATAATTGCTTATGTCAATCTTTGGCAAGACTGGAACTATCCAACGTGAAATTCGCAATCACGATTTATGGCATCTTGGGCATAATTAACGAAGATGCCACTCCCTTGTGGAATATCTGACATACAGAAATTATTAATATGCAAGAACTCATCTGTCTTTTTACAAAGCTCATTGGTAGTCTCTAATCAAAAGTTGCAATTGATTTCACCAAGCATGATGACATTAAGTGTTGATTGAGTGAGGGCAAGGTCAAGGCCACATGACAGAAACTGGAGATTGGAGACCATGTAATTAGACAGATACTGATGGATTTTCATGTGAATTACATTACACTTTAATGTACTTTCACTTTTGTCTTGAACAGTTTAAAAATCAAAATAAAATTCCTTCTGTCACATACAGTAAACTACGGTTATAACGATAACACTTATAACGAACTTACGGATATAACGAACTTACTTTTTAGGTCCAGATTATTTGATGTAGTTATGCTGTATATATGCTTATAATGAACTACGGTTATAACAAACTAAAATTAGTAGTCCCTTTGAGTTCGTTATAACGGTACTGTACTGTATTTTTTTACATTTTATTTCTAATAATTCATTTATTGTGTCCTTGTGTGTACACATATGGCAAGTTGGTAGTCAACCAAAGAATATTGATACGTCAAGGCCAGGTCACATGACCCAACTCAACCTGCATGGCTCAGGTAAAACTGGGTTCCAGTGTAAGTAACTTTCATGAAGGCATTGCTTTGAACAACATACGCCAGTCTAGACAGGACCAAGTTTAAGCCAAATCAGTTAATGTATGCTGGTCACAGGGATAATGAAAACCAAATGCACATACAACCTTTAAGCACATATCTGAAGGTTTAAAGCATTTAATTATTTACTAACTTTGGAAAATTCTTATAATATACATTTATATACCTCACTTTTACTGACATCTTGGCTCAAATCAGTCTTTATGTTCCCCGATCAGTGGATCTGTATGCATTCCAAATATTCTCAACTCCCTTGGGTGTATACAACCCATGCCGCCTACAGGATTTACTACGTGGATTTACACAGTTTCACACTTTGCGTAAATATGCTACGTGGATTTACACAGTTTCACACTTTGCGTAAATATGCTACGTGGATTTACACAGTTTCACACTTTGCGTAAATATGCTACGTGGATTTACAGTTTCACACCTGTTTTTACCTTTATAACTCCATAAACACAAAAAATATTGAAGTCAGTTCTTAAATAATGAAGACAGGATTGACTTATGAGTCTGTATACTGTCTGTGTGATGTATCGGTACAGGTGCTACAACTTGAAAGGTACCCGTACCCGTACCGAAATATCTCATTCAAAGACAACAAGTTGAAATCCATCAATCAACCCAGTCTTCATCTAGGTGAGTTATCTGACACAATCTGGTTAAAATCAGATCTTTGACTCTGATACGATACGCCTCTGCATCAAGATCTGACACCTCCCCAGAAGATCTTCTGTATGAGGAAGCCAATGGTTCAATGGTTCTTGAGCCAATCAGATGTCAGGTTTTTTAAATGTTTCAGCTTCATTCATAAAATTTTGATTTGTACAAATGATAACCCACGTAAGACACAAATATGCCTTCGATGGTACTCCGTTTTGGGTAGATGACACAGAGCTCAGAAACAACATAAACAGTGCATAAAATATCTACAATAATATAATGGTGAGGCTCTATTCTTTGGCAATCAGAGGTCCCTAATTATATTTGTTTTAAGATACAGAAATCAGGTATGCTTGTCTGAATGCTTCCCTCACTCGTACCAAAAAGTTAGAAGCCGCAATCCCGATTGGCTGATCACAAAGTTCACTGAAGCAACCTCCAGTGATGGGTTTGTCAGATCTTGCTGGAGAGATATTGTTTTGGCGTAAAAGATCTGATTTTAATGAGATTGCATGTTATCCAACACCATCAATATGTTCTATTGAAACAGTACTTTTCTTTTACAGACATGTGTCAGATTGTCAAAATGGGACAGACGTGCATCAGAGAATGGACCCGGATGATTTCCACCGAGAGCAAGAGATCTGCTGGTAAGTGTCACCTTGACCTTGACTTCCATCCCATAGATTCCAAATGAGTCAGTGTACAGGTCACCAGTCTGCACCACTTTCTGTGCAGTTGTGTCCCTTAGGCGCTCAAGGATCTGTTGATCGTGGGTTCACATCCCAGTTCGTCCTGATGATGAATCTAGTATTGTCAGCACCATACACATGCTTGTGGGTATCACTTTCTGCCCAGAGTTGTGTCCCTTAGGGGCTCAAGGATCTGTTGATCGTGGGTTCACATCCAAGTTCGTCCTGATGATGAATCTAGTATTGTCAGCACCATACACATGCTTGTGGGTATCACCAAAGTGGTAAACATCTAAGCCCTGTCCCCACCAAGCATACATGCTGTGACATAATTGTAATACTGTTTACAGCAATGTTAAACCAAACTCACTATCTCACTTTTAGAGCCATGTGTGTTTGACTCCAGCGTATTATATCCCATTCTATTACACTATATAAGGTAGCTACACGGTAAATCGCAAAGAACAATGAAGAACAAAGCATGGTTTATTTCAAGGTCAAACATTGTCCTGTCATGACAAGATTTCTAGAGATTCGTATATGTGCTTGCAACGTATATTGGATGACGTTATTTTTGAGAGGGAAGTGACTAGTTGTTCCCAATTGATGTTGCTGGGCTACACAGATAAACACAGTGGCCGAACAATTGCATCAAAAAGTGGGAGACATATGACAATTGGTATTAGGAGACAAAGTACAGATAATCAACATGATCATTGTGAGAATATGCAGAAATACCAAATTTAACCCACCTGTTAGTAAAATGGACTAGTCCGACATTTTGGAGGTTGGATTCTATTCAGGGAGAACCTCGGATTCTATTCCGGGAGTTATCATTATTAAAATTTGGGTTAATATTTTTAAAGCTTTTATCAACATTCTTCAACAGGGAATTTTCTGCTTTGCTTTTGTGAATTTTTACGCTTCCAATGTATCCATTATACACCGACCTTGAATTTCAATTACATTATGAATTTTTCGACGTGTTATAAACAAGTTTAATCATTTATTAATAAAATAGTATATAGGACAAATATTTCAAATTTTCCAGTTCTCATTTTGGTAAAATCGCGTACACATGATTTATGATGACTGCCAGATTTGAAATTGTGTGTCTTGTGAATACCAGTTACCAAAGTACTAGTACTATGTTATTATGAGTGAATTAGGAGATAAACCTACTGTGTTTTGAAATTTGATGTAGTCCCACTGTAGAATAGATACCTCTTTATTATAATTTGGAACCGAGCGCTTTAGAATCAAGCATTCAACAATGTCATGGTAGAATATAATGTGAACTGGGATGGCAAATCCTAATCAGTGAAAGCGAGGTACATGTTGTCTTGTGAATGTTTTAATAACCTGATCAGATGAGGTGACATTCACCACCGGAATGTTTGGATAATAATTTCCTTTTTAGTTAAGAACAAACAATAGCTCCGGGGACCAACCCAATACTCTACTTCCATAATGTTTTCTATTTTTCTATTTGCATGGTTCTAGTGAGTGAGTGAGTGAGTTTGTGAGTTGGGTTCAACGCCGCTTTTTACAGTATTCCAGTTATATCACAGTGTGTCAGCTTAATGTTGGAGGAAATCCCGAAGTGATGCAGGTCTCCGACGTTTACCACTTCGGCGAAACCCATGAGCACGGGTAAGGTGCTTACATACCTAGAAATGTAATCGGGGCAAACCGGGATTCGAAACCACAATCATAGGTTTCTGGTGTGCCCAAGGGGCGCAACTCTGCACAGCAAATCGCAGGGCCTTGGACGACTGGGCCACCCGTGCCCCCTGCATGGTTCTAGTTATCACATTTCAAATGATGGCAAATAGAGAAGGAGTCATCCAGTTTCTACTTAATGAGGTTCGACTGTATTGATATGGTTATTATTGTACGAACTACAAGTGATTCCGCGGCATTTGATTGGCTAACCAAGCAATTTTGTATTCATTTATGTTTCCATAAACTGAAAAGAAATTAGGCCATGCCTACTAACAGCCTACTGATTCCTGATGGGCGGGGCTTGTGTTGTATAATTGCGCTGGACAATGTCACTGATTTGTATCATTATTTACAGCTTTTATGTATACCGTATTCGACGAAATAAGCGCCCACAGCGATATTTGCTAATATATTGGCTAGTGAACAATATCAATTAGCAGCCCTTCCGATTGATCAATGTACACAACACTTATTTATTCACGTGTAATACGCACTCGTGTGTTATATGCACCCTTAATTATGGGCAATTATATTCTGGAAAAATGTATCTCTCGTATATAAACATTTCGGGCTGTCAGCATAAACCACGAAATTTATCTTTCAAATCTTTTTTTTCACCAAAATAATACTCTAATAAGAGCCCCCTATTTCTAATTTTGAGAGCGCCCTGGGCGCTTATTACGTCGAATACGGTAATTGATTCAATGAGCAGTCTGTTAGGTTATTTTTGTTGTCGTATTTATTGATCTGAATTGAAGTCAATATGTTTTTGTGTCTATGGAGTTATAAACATAGAAATCTGTGTGCAAATTTTGATATGCAGATTTACAGTGTGCATATTACTGTGTACTTTTATACTTTCAAAAACAAAAAAAACATTGTTAAATAGCTCAAGACTCCAAGCCAATAATGTATGTATAACAACATATTACGAGAAGAGAGGTCAATATCATGGATGTACAATAACACAGAGTGACAGTAATGTTTTGGATATGAAGGTACCACATGTCAATGATTATTAACACCCAGTGTAAAGTCTGAAAGTATACCCCCTTTCAAAGTATACCTGGGTAGATTCTGGGAGCTCACAGAATCTACCCCCTTTCCCAGAATTAACCCCCCGAGGGTATACTCCCAAACAGTAATCATAATTAAAGAAACACATTTCCTCACACAATTCCACCAACTTGCGAACTAACAAATTGATGATGACAACAATGAGTTAAAGTTAATGTGATTTGTAAGATATTTTTTATTAGTTTAAACAATATTTATTTCTTCTTTGCATGTATAAAACACCATTTTGAATTTTTGGATTCGATAACAATTTATTATTATCTACACTGGTGTAGATTCTGGGATCTCCCTGATTATACCCCTTGAGGGTAGATTCTGGGAAAGGGGGATAGATTCTGGAAGCTCCCAGAATCTACCCGGGCATACTCTGAAGGGGGTTTTGGCAGCTTACACTGGGCATATATTTCTTTCAGACAGTCTCTAACACTGGCATTCAATTGAAAAGATAATAATTGGGAGAATTCCATGCATAAAAACTATCCACTGTTTAATCAAGGCCTGGTGTTGAATCAATACCCAGGTGCGGTTTTTAGGCCCAGCCTTTAATTGAGGAAATACGCAGTTGTAAGAACGAAGGTCAATGACTGTTCCTGTTCATCCTAATAGTGTACTGTCTTAAGTCTTTTATCTGTCTTAGAGCACAACAGAATACTTGAGTTTCACGAATAGCATTCTCGTTGTATATCATGAACAGTTCAGGGAACAGCACTTGTTCACTTTCCACGTAAACCATGGCCAACGTCATCCCATTGTTCTCCAAGCAGGATATATCTCATAATCAGGTTGTTACAATTTCATATACAAAGTCCCAGGAATGTTATCTTCTCATTAACTATTCTTGCAGTGTTTCTCACTGCTGGGAATTGAAACCCATGACATTTCGCTAATGATTCTCATCCTTTTTCAAGTATTTTGAAGAGCAAAAGTCAATTTATCAATTGGATAAAACGCTTCCCCTAGAGTTTTTAAGACATTTAAAACCCACGTCCTCAGGATGAAGCCAAGGGCTGATGCTCCTCACTTGTTTCCTGCAGATGTGGGTTGTAGATATCATTAAGACCGTCGTACATGTTTTATCCTTTACTTAAAGCATAGTTTAAGCTTGTGAAGCAATACCTCCTGCGCCTGAGTGCTGTGAGCGCTACAACTGTCTCAGGTCTCAGGTTAAAGTTGCTGTGTGAGAAATGTTTTGTGGAAAGAGATACATATATATGAAAACACAATGCCATTAAGAAGGTGGTCAAATGTAACAAATGTTATGTTTGGGATAACATTTTCTTAGTAAAGTACAGATTCTAATACTTTTGTTTTTTTTGGTGGGGGGGGGAGTCCCATCTGGGATACAGACCCATACTGCCAGAGTTAATTAATTAAACACCTAATCGCCAGCACACAAAGTCAACCATCTAGCCCACTCAGCCAACGAAAAATGAAAGTCAAACAACTGGTAGTCTAGATCACATACTTTGTGTACCCCTCTGAGAAGTGTGAATTGGCATGGCCTCCTTGGCAAAAAGCTATGAACATACAATGCCATTTTTTTGTGGGGGTTGAGTCCCATCAGGGATTCGAAAGTGTTATCCCAAATATAACATTTGTTAGTTTACTAAGAAAGTGTTATCCCAAATATAAAATTTGTTAGATACATACGTACAATCACAGATTGTGCCTGGGTACATCTACCCAAGGCAAGGGTGTTTTTCAACTGAATTTGTTTTCTTTTTTTGCATTAGATTTAATTTTTTGCTCACACTATGCACTCTATAGAGTGTCCGACACACAGAGAACCAGTGCTGCAAGCTGTAGGGGGCCAGGCCAGATTATGTCACGTGATACATAAGAATTATGTTTACTTTAATAGATTTGTAACTTAGAGGAATGAAATAAAAAATATATTGCTCCCTCCATACCCAGTTTTGAAAAACAAGAATATTTTTAATGGATCTGATAAAAATAATATTTCACCTTGCCAGCAACGAACATAATCTTGCTCTCATGAATCAGGGATGCAGGTCCCCCAGTGCGGATGTGATATCCAACCAGGGAAACATGATTTGTATCTTGATGTAGTAGCAGAGAGGTGTCCTGGGACCAATCACAAAGCCCCAAGCCGGTACGCGATGCATATCTTGGCATATACCTGAATGTTTTATGTG